GAGAGAGAGAGAGGATCAGGATTAAGATCAAGGGGGAAAGATATTTTATTGGGGTTTGAAATATATCATTCATTGTGTATTAATAGCGGTATAGAAAATTTCAGTCTTTTATATATTTACTTATCATAACAATTAATTGTAGCTGCTGTTCAGTTATACCAAGATCTAAAACCAAGATATGAGCTTAAACAAAGATCAACGATATAGATAATAAAAGCTAAATCCTTAAAATATGATTTTGAACATCGCGAATAAAAGTACTTTGATTATCCATTTGACAGATTTTAAGTAGCATGACAGGTGAGAATCATGAAAATTATAAGTACAAATTAAGATGATTTCAATCGAAACTTTATATGTTCCTGATTTACACAAGAACTAAAATTGAATTCAAAAATCAAGTACAAATATAATGAAACAAATACAAAACAAATTTTAAAACCAGTTATCATACAAAAATGTATACGCTGATTATTACTTTTATCAAAACAAACAATAACTTTTTGTTTTTAATGAAGGCTATGCTTTTGATATCAAAAAACTTGATGAAACTATAGTATGCAAGTTTTAATCATTGAAAAAAGGTACAACAAATTATATTCAGGCGTACATTTTTTAATGACTTTTTTGATGTCTGCAATGATACATGAACCTACTCCAAGTTGCAGTATTACTATATTTGAACAATTTTGCAAAAAAATGGGTTTTGCGATTTTGCACAAATTTGTTAATTTTTTGAGTTTTTCGTTTTCTTTTCAATTTCGTTTTTTAAAGTTTTTAAACGCGTACTTGAATATGTAGCTGTTTATGCGGAACAATGTAGGATATGTACCTTCTGGCAACCTTTGGTCGGCTTCCATTTTAGGAATTACTCTTTTAAGGTTGTTTCTACTATCGTTTGGTAAATTGATTGAGCAGTGAGCAGTGTACTTGTATTTTAATTTGAGGTATAAAGGATTTCAAAGGAAAATAGAAAAATGAAAAAATTTAATTACATTGATTTGAATCTGGTGATGTTTTTTATATGTCTTGTATTATTATTGTAATACTAATACGTTTTATATAAGACATCGCGCACCGGATGATTATTCAGTCGACTCCAGTTTTCGTTAATTACTACTTGTGCGATTTCACGATTGGTTGCACAAGTGCACTTAAGTTGAAAGTTGCAATAAGATGTAAATTTCAAATGACTCAATTAAGGTACTGCTTTAACTTACATTTTATAGTCAAAAATCTTTACACAAATACACGAATACAAGTCTAAAGTAAGTTTAAGTAAATTGATTAAAAGGGTATTGATTGTGATAAGTTTACTCCAAGTTTCAATTGATGTTCACTGTTCAGGTAGTTTTTCATATGGTTGAGATTTCATATCTAGATCGATAGATAACCTTTGATACGTCGTGGTCAATCAACGTTTGATTATCGGCTATGAGATTTTAGTTGTGGGATTTAGATTGATGAAACAGATCGATTCTCAAGATGACCTACTACAAGTAAGCTATAGGTCTATGGTAGCCAGTACAAACATTCAAGTATTAAGGACCTACGTTTGTACATGAATTATGCTATCAAATGGGGGTTTAAATTAATAGAAAGAGATCTTACATTCCATTCAAAATATGACGCACATTTAATTTTTCACTAAAAAATTGGAAATGTTCTATGGAAAATTTGATCAACAAAGGTAAATAAAATCAAACACCAGAATTAAACAAGGATCATACAAATTAGCAATTATAATTTGCTTATTTCCATCTTTTGCATACCTTAATTCCTTTAAACTCATCGCCTCTTTATTAGGAACAAGTGTAAATACAATTGCTCCATACACTCAGTTGTTCAACCATGAAAACATAAAGAAACTTTTTAGTATATAAAATATAGTACTAAGTACTAACATGGGGATCTTAAAGTTAACATATAAAGACTTTAAAAGTGAGCAAATATATACCATGATCCATGATAAGTATTAAGACCTCATTACTCAAGACTAAGTACTAAATTATCCATACAAAGACAGGGATTACGATGAGTACCGTACATATCGTACATTCTTGATAAAGTCTAGCGTTAAAATGATATCAATTCATGTCTTTGAGGTCTATACAATCTCCGTACTGTATACAATTCTATGCCCTGGTTCATCACGGCCTTCATGAATGTCTTGTTTAGATTTAATTTTGATCATCAATGAGATGGTCAATGACGTTGATTATCGAAAACAAAAAAGATCACAAACAAAAAATAAAAATATAATAATTTGGAAAGTACACTGCCAGGGATTCGAATGAGCGTCATGATTTTTAATATTTTAAAAATATTCGCATCCAACGGGAATCGAATGGACGTCCCAGCTTTCAAAATCGACGGGTAACCTCATCGCATCGCATATTACATAATCTCAAAGTAAGCATCAAATTTTTTTTATTAAAAGAAATATTTTTTTTTTTCATATAAGTAAAAACATAGATAAAAGTAAAATTTTTTGATCCATTATCTTTTTCTATATAAGGTTAAATCAAATCAGTAAAGATGCAACTTACTTGGAAAGATATCCCTACTGTTCCAGAGGCTAATGACCTTTTGGACATTGTCTTGAACAGAACTCAAAGAAAAACTCCAACTGTTATTAGACCAGGTTTTAGTATTAATAGAATTAGAGCTTTTTATATGAGAAAAGTTAAATTTACTGCTGAAGGTTTTGATGAAAAATTAAATGATTTAATTCATGGTTTCCCAAAAATTGATGATGTTCATCCTTTCCATAGAGATTTAATGGATACTTTATATGAAAAAAATCATTATAAAGTTTCTTTAGCTGCTGTTTCAAGAGCTAAAACATTAATTGAACAAGTTTCAAGAGATTATATTAGATTATTAAAATTTGGTCAATCTTTATTCCAATGTAAACAATTGAAAAGAGCTGCTTTAGGTAGAATGGCTACAATTTCTAAAAAATTAAAAGATCCTTTAATTTATTTAGAACAAGTTCGTCAACATTTAGGTCGTTTACCTTCAATTGATCCAAATACAAGAACTTTATTAATTTGTGGTTATCCAAATGTTGGTAAATCTTCATTTTTAAGATGTATCACTAAAGCTGATGTTGAAGTTCAACCTTATGCATTCACAACTAAATCTCTTTATGTTGGTCATTTTGATTATAAATATTTAAGATTTCAAGCTATTGATACTCCAGGTATTTTAGATAGACCAACTGAAGAAATGAATAACATTGAAATGCAATCCATTTATGCCATTGCACATTTAAGATCTACAGTTTTATATTTTATGGATGTTTCAGAACAATGTGGGTTTTCAATTGAAGCTCAAGTTAAATTATTCCATTCAATTAAACCATTATTTGCAAATAAATCTGTCTTAGTTGTTATCAATAAGACTGATATTATTAGACCAGAAGATTTAGATGAAGAAAGACAAGCTTTATTACAAACTTTAACTGGTGTTCCAGGTGTTGAAATTATGACTACATCATGTCAAGAAGAAGATAATGTTTTCCAAGTTAGAAATAAAGCATGTGAAAAATTATTAACTTCAAGAATTGAACAAAAATTAAAAGGTCAAGCTCGTATTAATAATGTTTTAAATAAAATTCATGTTTCTAAACCAACTCCAAGAGATGATTTGAAAAGAGAAGCTTTTATACCTGAAGGTGTTTCTAAATTGGCCAAATATGATGTTGAAGATCCAAATAGACGTAAATTACATCGTGATATTGAAGCTGAAAATGGTGGTGCAGGTGTTTATAACATTAATTTGAAAGATGCTTATCTATTAGAAGATGATGAATGGAAAAATGATAAAATGCCAGAATTATTAGATGGTAAAAATGTTTATGATTTCCTTGATCCAGATATTAGTGCTAAATTACAAGCTTTAGAAGAAGAAGAAGAAAGATTAGAAAATGAAGGTTTTTATGAAAGTGATTCAGAAATTGAAGATGATGATGTTACTGATATTCAAGAAAAAGCTGCATGGATTAGAGATAAACAACAAAAAATGATTAATGCTGCAAGAAATAGAAAAGCTTTGAAAAATGGTGGTACTATGCCTCGTTCTAAATTAACAAAGAGTTATAATGAACTAGAAGAACATTTACAATCATTAGGTCATGATACTACAATATTAAATTCTAAAAAATCAAAGAAAATTTCAGAAAATCCTTATGTTGAATCAGGTGCTGATGTTATAATGAATCAAGATTCTGAACATGTTACTAAAAAACAACCAGTTTATAAATCTGATAGATTAAATGACGGTGTTGCAGATGGTGCACTTAGATCAAAAGCTGATAGAATGGCTAAAATTCAAAGAAGAGAAAGAAATAGACAAGCTAGACAAGGTGAAGCTGATCGTCATGCTACTGCTTCTTTACCAAAACATTTATTCAGTGGTAAGAGAGGTATTGGTTCAAATGATCGTCGTTAAGATTATCAAAAATTATTCTCTATCATATTTTTGTATTTTAAAACTTTAGTTTAAACAATTTTATTCATGTTTTCATTTTTATATTTTTCATTCTTTTTGGTTTTAAAATTTGGTTTTATATAATTATTTTGGTTTTAAGGGATATTTGCATGAAATTTAAACTAAAAATTTTCCACATATAACTTCACAATATTATATTATTGTGTTTGTACATTACACTATATAAATATTTTTAGTCTGTTTTTTTGGACTACTATAATGAAATATTGATTTAAATATATAATATAATAAGAAATATGTAGTATAAAATTCGCATAATATATAAAAAAAACCTTCATATAGTAATAATATATAATAAATTCTATTTTTTGACCTTTTTCCTGTTTTCTAGTGACTTTTATATAAACTTTTATAAGTACCTTTTTTTTAATGAACAAAACCAAATCATTACAAACCAGTTGTATGTTTTTAAACTCCCAAAATCCCATGAATATCTGCATCTCAATAATAATAATACTATGTAATATAATATTATGAATGCAACCAATCTTCTTCTAATCTAAATTGCATTTCTTCTTCATCATTATGACCTAAATTATTATTAATTCCAGAATTATGTTGATTAAATTGAGGTCTAACATTTGAAGAACTTGGTCTTGAACCACGTCTTTTCAATTCTTGAGGAGTTAATAAATCACTAAGACTTGAAGGAACAAAATCTTCTTCAAAAACATCTATAGATTGATCATCATCTTCATCATCATCATCTAATATTGCACTTTCATTGATTGGTTCTGTGAATAAAGGTCTTGTTGATACATTACCAATTTGTGAATGACTAAATGATCTAAATTTAGTTTCAATACCATTTATACCATTACCATTAGTTTGTGGTTGAGACCAAATCGAATTTTGGAAAGGTGAAGTTGAAGTATATGATCTTGTATGATATTGAATAGGTGATTGATGATCGAATGAAGAAGAAGTATTGAAATTATAATTTGTTGTTTGTTGAGTTGGTGATATAATATTCATTGATTGAGATTGAGATCCAACAAATTGATTGAAACCATTAGAATTACCACCATTAAAACCATTTGAAATTGGAATACTTGAACCTGGAGTGATGAATCCATTTGGTGGTGAAATAATACCTTGATTAACATTTTGAACATTTTGAGTTTGTTGTTGAACTTGTTGCTGAGCTTGTTGTTGAGCTTGTTGTTGCTGAGCTTGTTGACTTTGATAAACCTGAGCCAAACTCTTTGGATTAACTCTTCTTCCATCAGGTAAGATATGAGCTAATGCACATTTTAAACCAAATTTACAATTCCCCTTGCTAAAATATTTACATGGAGCAGTATCTAAATTTGAATCTTGTGTATGAGAAAATGGACATGAATCACCAGCTTGACAAGCACCTTGTCTATAAAACTTACAAGGAACATGAGCAAGGTCTGGAAAAACGTTAGTATTTATCTCAAAGAAGCTTCCAAGGTTACACCCTGATGATTTTTTACTCACTTTTCGATGGACTTTTAGACATTTCCAAGTCTTTGCTAATATGACCATTATTCCCCTGATTTTGAGATAGATTATGATGATTTCCCTGTGATTTACTCACGGATAATGACCGATGGAAGCCTTGATTATATCCTTCCTGTAATGGTTGTGTCATAATCACCAAAATACCTCTTAGTTACTATGAATTTATTTCTCTTTTGGTGGTGTTTTTGTTAAATTTGCTAGCTTTTTGATATAATTATGTCTTATCTAGTATAACGTGTAAAATAACCCTAAATTGAAGCAAAAAAGATGGAATTTCTTAGTCAAATCAACTCTTTAACACTTAATCACTAATCACTTTATCAAATATTTCAATTCTTATAACCAATTTGATCTAATTAACTCTCTTTCTTTAAAATCTCCACTGTTTTGGAATCTTGTGCGACTAAATTCTACTTAATTTCTAATTCTCATTAGTCATTTCGTTATCACGATAAGCCAAATGCTGACTCAGCGATTACAAAGCAGTATAACCAAAAATACTAAAATTATAATTTTACTATACAAAATCAGAGCAATTTATTCATTGTAATGGTAAACCAAGTAGTTTGGAAGACCAAAGACTTGATAACCTAATCTCTTTGCCATCTTAGCGAAACCTTCAGTTTCAATCAAATGATAGAATGGGAAAGGTGGGAACATGGCACCATCTCTATGAACATCAGCTTTAACTAGAACAGCAGCACCTCCAACACCATCTAATTCCATTTCAGTGTTCTTATCACCATTAGCATCATAGAAATGAGCCATTAAAGGTCTATAAGTGGCAATTTCTGCATAACCTTCCACAATAATTTCATCATCAGCCATATTTTCAGCAATTTTTAAACCTTCTTCACTTTCAACCCAATTATTAAAATCATAAGGTCTTATAGAATCTTGTTTTTTCTCTTCATCGAAATAACGTTGATAACAATTTGCACTTATGATTGGTTTATCATGAGATACAAGATCTTGAATTAAAGTTGGTGGTGATTCAATGATATCAGCATCTAACCATAATACCCAACTTGTATATGGACCTAAAGCACTGAAAACAAGAGAATTTCTTGCAGATGCCATTGCAGCTCTTCTTTCTTTTTGAACTTTTAAAGCATGTCTATGTTTTTCTTGTTGATTATCTAAAGATTCAGTATCTTGTCTTAAAATTGTAATTTTAGAAAAACGATTTTCTTTTTTACCAGTTTGAATTTGTTTTATAGCTTTTTCTAATTTTTTCAAAGCTAAATCACCATCTTTATTTCTTGGTACAATAAAACCTAATTCTAATAATTCTCTTGGATAAGTTAATCTTAATAAATTTGACCAATATTCATTATAAAATTTAGACATTGGTGATAAAATTAAAACTTTTTCTTTATTATAAACAGCCATTGGAGTTGAAGCTAATTTATTTAAATCATAATGAGCAATATGATCACCTGGTAAATTTCTTGGAATAACATCATGTTGTCTACTAAAAAATCCATTTTTTTTAGTTTTATAACTATATTTAGATGTTGGTTTTGATGATGTAAAGAAAAACCAATAAGTTAAAACAATTAAAAATAAAGGACCCAATAAAGTCAAAGGTCTTCTTCGTATTTGACGGATAAAATTGTTTCTATTCAAAGAAGCAGCTTTCATTTTTGTTAAATTTTGTTCAAATAAGAATATAAATTCTCAAACGTGTTTTGATCTCTTGAAATGTAAACAAAAAAAAAAAATGAATATCAACTGAAAAAAAAAACTTCTCAACCTCAAACCACAATCAGCAAAATATCACAACTATGATTCAAATCAAAACCAAACAATCACCAAAAAGAACCAGCCTTTCAACCAATTTCTTGTTTTGATTTGATTTGATTTTGGAAATTTCCCACCTATTAAAAAATCCCAAATTCAGACGTTTTTTTTTGATTTTTTTTGACAACTGTTCAAGAAATTCGCGAAATTAAAAGTAAAAGATCAGCGTATGTAAGATATTATGTAACCAAGAAAATCAAAAAATATCACGTTTATATTCAAGACATCATGTGACTAGGGGAAAGTAAAAGCCCTAATTGAGATTATGATGAATTAGGGGCGAAAAAAGGTATCTTTGATTCACTCAAGTTGAAATAATTTCAAATGGTAAAGCTATCACTAGCAAATCTGATCAAAAAGTTAATGTCTCATCAATATAGAAACAACGGTTGATGCTGCTACTAGATATTTCAAAAATGCACATGGTTTTGTTCCAAGATCAAGATTTTTACTATGGTTGATCGAAAACATGTTCAAATTTATTATTAGTTATAAAATCAGATTTATTTCATAATTAAAAGATGGTGCATTAGGTTTAGGAAAAGTTCTCATTACAGGTAATTTAACACTTTATAACATTAAGATCCTTTGTTAATCAATATAAATCTTTCATTAATTACTATTGTTACACTTCATCATGATTAAATAACTATTCCAAAACTATTATTGACATTATTAACCAATACAAATTAGTTGATTAGGCAAAAAAATTCTAATTCTAATTTATTCTGTATAGATATAGAGCTTTAATAAACGTATGGTTTTCTTTGTTGATCAATTGGTGATAAATCTTAGGGAAATTATGTCGACTACATCAAATTTCAGAAAATAATATAACATATATTTTTAATTTTAATTTGAAATTTTCAATTAACTTATGCATATAACGTATAAAATTAAATATTCATATATATATATATTCATAACTATACAATTACCAGCAACATCACCTTTACTCTAAAAAAAAGCCTAGATCAACTGTTTGACAGAAGCAAACCATCTTTTAATTACCCCAAGGTGTAATATAGTAAAGTGATCCAACAACTGCTATAACTAATAACAGGTATTCAATCGACATAAAACAGATCATAACTAAAAACACTAATATAGCTGCTGTGACTAATTCAATATTCGATACATCTCTTTGTAATCGAAAAGGATTGTCAGCAGCAAATATTTCCAATGTTCGATCAACCTCAATCTCGGTAGAACCTGGTCTAACAACAGAGTGGATACCTTCACCATTACCTTCACCATGATCAATGGTTAAATCTTCAGTTGAAATAACAGAGTGGATACCTTCACCATTACCTTCACCATGATCAATGTTTAAATCTTCAGTTGAAATAACAGAGTGAACATCTTCACCATTACCTTCACCATGATCAATGGTTGAATCTTCAGTTGAAATAACAGAGTGAACATCTTCTTTACCTTCACCATGATCAATGTTTAAATCTTCAGTTGAAATAACAGAGTGAACATCTTCTTTACCTTCACCATGATCAATGTTTAAATCTTCAGTTGAAATAACAGAGTGAACATCTTCTTTACCTGTAGCTCTGTTTAATGGTTTAGAGGCTCTTTGCTTTATTCTATGGGTATCACCTAAATCTATTGTTTCCTCCATTGTGATGAAGCGTATTTGAAGTGTTGAAATATCATATTGTTAAAAGATACATTCAAGCGCTGTGTTTTGATATTTATATATTAATTAATCTGGCGGCTCCACAAAATGAAAACGAAAGACAATAGACACAAAAACATCGTGTTAGGGCCACTTGATCTAAAATTCCCGTCGATTATGTAATCCTTGTCGATTATGTAATCCTTGTCACTTAACAGACGTATAACAATCACTGACGTCCCGAGTCCCGACACCCGGATCGGTGTTTCTTTGTATAGTATATGGGATATAGTCTTTGAGCATATATATGGTATATATATATGTTGCAAATCTATATAGTATAGAGTATGTATATAGTATATATTATATTAAATTTTGGCCAAAATTTGCAGAATTGAAACAAAATTTGCCAGAACACGACAGGTGTATATAGATAAGTAAGGAGATAAGTATTAGCATATTGCAGCTATATCTGACTAGTATAATATATATATATATATAATATATATATATATAGTATTCAAAGTAGATTCGACTGGAAGGCAAATATTTCCATATAACTAGTTTTTGGACAAGCTGCAGCTGGGTCAAAATTGAATTAA